TTCCTCTAAGTCTTCCTACCAATATGACCAAGTTGCGAAAGCAAGGTCAAACAACTTTTATACAACGAAAGGAAACTGCGACCACACAAAAGGCCACACCATCTTGATCTTCATACCTTCGAATAGTGTGTTAAGTTCAACGACAAAAGCGCTTTTTTATCCATCGTAATAGAATAATGCGTGTTTGGTTGTCTAGAAAAAGGCATAGTTAACACCAGTTCCAATAGATTCCAGATTTCGGGTTTTCAACCTAGATGGCATTAGTGTGATTTTTCGTTTATAAGCAGAGTTTTGAATCTACCAGTAAATCAGTAATATGAGATTTATTCACCCTTTTACATTTAAGGTGATGAAGGACTGGTAGTTGAATTTTCCCATAATGATATGAGTAGGGTTGATGCTTCCATTGCATTTCATATAACTTTGATTTCACAAAAGTTGTTCACCTCCCGGCTGGAGTGGACTGCAGTTTCGACTTCGCATAGGTCTTATCAACACCCCCAGCGGGAGTCGAACCGTGACAGTGCAGCGTATAAACTCGACACGTTAACCATAACGCCTCATTGCCAATAATGCCCTTGGGTCAAATCTCATGTAACCGATTTACGGGTAGCCTCGAAAATCTGCTTATAAACGAAAAATAAATAAAGTAATCGACTGTTATAGCGAATGTAACTTTGCTTCATCTACAATCCCACCAAAGAATGTGGGATTTCCCATATGGAAAATTTTGACTGCCAGTCCTTCCTCCGCCTTAAACGGAATAGAGTGAATACATCTCATACTAGAGTGATTGATCTGTTCGAGTCACCACGGTTTCATGAGTAGATCTTCGATCAAAATATAGCCCATTTGTCTCATAAAAGCATCTTCTATCTTTCAGGCCTTCGCGTAGCCCGGCAGAACACCTTTCACGCCGAACCCTCTTTGACCTCGGCTGGCCCAGAGGAGTTGGCTTCTTCACCTGTACCAGGCTCAGCGCCATCAACATTGTTGCCTAGCCCGTCGATGGCCCTAGAGACGCCGGCCGTCCCGGTGGATTCCTCCGGAGCATGGCGGCTTCAGGGCTCACTGGCGTTGGCAATAGCGGGACCAGCAGCAAACGGGACTTCACCGTCTGCGAATCCGCCTTCATATGCCTTCTCCACTCAACCGGTCCCTGAAATGCCACTGCCGTCGCCGTCGCCGTCGCCATCATCGTCGTCACTGTCACGGTCACTTCCAGAGCTGCAGCTGCAACTTCAACCAAAGCCACAGCCACAGCGTCCCTCAACGGGGCTATGGAAAGAGATCCATCCGTCTCAGTCATCATATCAGCTCGTCACAAGCAAGCCGGTGAAGGCTGCGACCGACTCATCTTCTCTCGATGAGGCGGCGAGAGCCACGACGACCAACCTCATGCCTATCGCCCGTCGGAAGCCTTTCAACGGTCATCAGTTGACGGCCGTCAGGCTTGTCAGTGCTCAAACCGTCGAAGAATGGTTTGGTGACTTTTGGTGCCGCTGTGAGGCTTGGAACAATATCGCCGAGTTGAATGAACCGCGTCGGGTTACCAGCAAACAAGCGTATATCCATGTTGCCTGTAGGTCCCAAGTGAGGCAGGCCAAGATATTCTATCATTTGAAATGGCGAATTAAACAAAATGACTCGTTTATACGATCAATGGGCTATTGGAAACGAAAGAGGGTTAGAGCAACCAACCTGGGTGATAAAATAATCGGACACTATTTCTCTCCTTCCATTTTATTGTCTCATAATTAAGAATTCCGAAGGTGTTTCCCGCCCATTTAATTGTATGATTTTTATAATAATCTACTAGCATTTCTTCTTACAGTGCCATGATCATAAGCTTCTTTCACTCCATGTATATGAAGAAAACATGTTTTCTGCTTAATCTCCTGTTTTCGAATAAGTCATTTAATCTCACTTTCGAGGGAGGACGATGGCTGCTGTTTGGCCTTATTAATAGATTCTGGTTGACGCAGTCCTCGAGAAAATCTTTTTTGAGATATCATCAGAGCAGGTTACTGTTCTTTATATCAATTCAGGCTAAGGGCTTAAAAAAATCCATCAACTTATCTTTCATGCTATATATATATATATATATATATATATATATATATATGTGTACACAAGGACATGTGTTCACTTGTCTCTAAGTTGGCATATGAAATAAGCTAGTCAATTCACCCCGTACCTCATTCCAATTGTTGGAGTGTTCATACAACAGGTAGAAACAAGCCAATAGGTTTTTTTACAATGGCACCCAACTCAGCACGTTTTCACCCAAATCGAACAAGATTGTCTCTAGGGCAGCGTCGACCAGGTACCAATAAAACTAAGTGTCTGCTACTTTCTGGTTAGATCAACCTACAAATCTCTTGATTAGAAACTTTCAATCGAGGCGAAAGCTATCTCAATTATTCGAAGGTATGAAGACCAAGATGGTGTGGCCAGACAGACTGTGGTCAACATTCCCAGCACAAGGGTGAAGGGGGTGATAACAACAGTGTGGAGTGTGAAGGATTTTCATGAATGCTCTTCGAAGGAGCACACCACAGTACATTAAAAATAAGCATGGAAGGTGTGATAGGATGATATAGGAAATGTGAATAGGCCAGGGCAGAAGGGGAGATATCACAACTGTTTAGCACACGTTTGGTCAAAGGATGGGCTTCACTTGTCCCTTTGACGAGTTGTAATATGGTGCTACGAATAGCGATACTCACTGACGATGCCGACGAAACGTCTGGGAATGTACTACGTCGACGGTCCTACTCTGGAAATGATGATGCATACAATGGACTCCGTACTAGGTGCGTTCCTCTAAGTCTTACAACTAATATGAACAAGTTGAGAAAACAAGGTGAAACAACCTCTAACTCAATTATTGTTTCTCTTTGTTAAATCAACGAATGAGCTCTTGTCGACTCTTCACTGCTGTGAAGAGGGCATTATCGGATTGCTTCGACGAGCATGTTGCATCGGTGTTAGCATCATAGAAATGTTCCACGATACCCTGTTTGGCGTTAACGTCCTGGAGCCTCTTTGAGAACCGGATTTCTGGCCACTTGCTTCTGTTAAAACTTCCCTTTTGGAGGGTGCATGAGTGTGTTCTTGGCCAAACGCAATTGCATCATTTACGACTATTTTCGAGTGAGACTGAGCGATCATGAGACTCGTAGACCAGTTTCAGCAGAAGACAACTGCGTATTCCTATTGACCAATTGTCGTTTGGCTTTACT